TGCTCTGGACATGGCAGGTCTGGGTGACAGCGACCGGCGTGGCTGGACCCCGGAGCCGCAGCGGGAATATGCCCTCAGGAAGTTCTGAGACTCTGGGTTGGGCGGGGGAGAGCTCTCCTGCGAAAGGCAAACCACATAGCAGGAGCTCCAGGGCCGAGGGGCGACCCCAGACTCTACCGCTGCACGGGCGGGGAATGTCTCCTCCAGGCAGGAGTCAGGCAGGGAACTCAGCTGGCAGGGGAGACACGACCCTGCCTGGGGAAATCTCCACTGCGTTCAATGGAGCGACACTGTAGCACGAGAGAGGAATCCATGGGCGTGCCGGTGCATTTAGCACATCACACACAGTGTGTCGAGTGGCCCCAGCCACTGCCCCAGAGACAAAGGAATTCTCTCTAGTCTTTTTGTGATGCCGCTGTGTGCAGGTACCTGCAGTTTGGCCTTCACCTTGGACTCCACATTCTCATACTTCTGGGATGCGGGGAACGTCTCCTCCAGGCAGGAGTCAGGCAGGGTAGTCTTTTTGTGATGCCGCTGTGTGCAGGTACCTGCAGTTTGGCCTTCACCTTGGACTCCACATTCTCATACTTCTGGGATTTCCACAGGGCCTTCATGGGTTTGGGCTGGCTGTGCTCCCGCGCCAGCTCCTTCTCCTTGCACCTCCTCTGGATCTCCCGCATCCGCCTCACATTCTCCTTCTCGTGGTCCTTGCACTCGCGCCCTGCACGCCCCGGCGAGACACGGCTTTCACCAGCAGGCCCTGCTGAGCCCCTTGGCACCATGACCAGGGAGCAAACAGCAGCAAGCGGATCCCCTCCCTGTGTGCCAGCCGGATCCCTACCCCCAGAGCCCCTTGTTAGCACACCAAGACACTGGCTTTGCTGGAGTAACTCCAAGAGCAGCTGCTCGAAAACAGCCACCTTTGAGTTAAGACTCACCCGTGGTGGATTCTACCCTCGGGTGGTTGTTCCAAAGGCTAATTACTCTCCCTGGGGACAAATTTATACCTTCCTCCCCAACTCCCTCTGGCTTCATCTTCCAGCCACTGGATTTCCTGCTACACTGACAAGCCCATTTGTTCCCATGTAGGTAACTAGAGACTGCAACCAAGTCACCCTTTAACCTTCCCCTGGGCAGTTCTCAAGTTCTCTGCCTATCCCAGGCACTCCCCAGAGCTGTTCCCATTAGCCACGTACCAGGAAAACCACCTGGGATCTACTTGGCTCTTGGCCTCCATCATATGGCAGGGAGTTCCACAGGCTCACTCCCACGTTTTCCATACGCCAGGCCGGAGTCAGGGTGAGGCCCCACACAAATCCCCATCCTAAACCCTTGCCTCTGCACCAGTTCAAGCCTTCATTCTATCCTGCCCGTCAGCCCCACCTGCTCAATTGCACCTACTTTTCAGGGGCGGCTCCCTGTGGAGAGAGACCCCCTCCAGCTTCAGCAAGATCCCGACTGTCCCCATCTGCCCCTTCTCCAGGATGTCCTGGCCATTGGGGCGGATACGTGGGGCAGGGCGGGCACTGTAACACGTGGGATACAGGCTGGGATCGGGGGCCAGCGGGCCAGAGAGGAAGTCGAGCTTCAAGGCATTTCCTTCCAGCCTCCCTCGAGCTAGAGAGAGACAGCACGAGTCAAGGCATGCGGCACCTCCCCTTTGCTCCCCCCCGGTGCCCCCACCCTGGATAGAGGGATGTTTAACAGATATTGACATCCCCCCACTTCCTACTCCTCACATCAGCCTCTCCTGGCACTGGAGGCGATGGGAGCTGAGAGCGCTCAGGGCCTCAAAGGAGCCGAGTGTCTCTGCAGGGCCATTCCACACCCTTTGGGGGAGAGCTGCCCCTCCACAGATCCAGGAACTGTGCAGCCAACAGAGGCTAGGGAAGGGAAGGCCTTCACCTGCACTAGCCACCCACGATTATGCAGGACCCCATCCATGCATCGCTGGCTCTCACCTGACAGGGGGCGTTTGTAATAGTCCGGGAAGAGTGTGGGGTCGGGAGGGATGGGCCCCGAGATCCTGGAAGGCCCCTCAGACATCTCGGCCAGGCTCTGCAGCTGCCATGGGGGACAGAAACCAGATAGTGTTTTCTGGGGAACCGTTCCCCAGCCACGGTGAAGATTTTAAATACGTCGGGGCCAGTGCTCTTCGCTGGGGCGACATCCCGCTAGAGAGAACATTGTCACCCTGCAGGCCAAGGGATCCCATCCGTCTAGACATGGATCAAGCTGCAGGCTGCCATGAACAGGGCTGCCCCTCTGCCCCCGAGCGCCCCCGTTTGCTGCAGTACCTGCCGAGCTAGGAGCAGGCAACAGGACGGGTCACTCAGTCAACTGATCTAGTTCTGTTCTTTCCCTCTGACGCACCTGGTATTGGCCACTGTTGGACAATGGGTAGAGAGACCATTGGTCTGAGCCAACATGGCTGTGCTTATAGCATCTCCCCTCACCCGTCTCCCTGCTGGGCTCACACGCTCTTGCCCCAGAGACTCACTCCCTACTCCAAAAATCACAATAAATTGGGCAAGTGGAGCAGCATCAACCCCCTGAGACATCAGGAGAGCTGCAGGTCCACAGGGTCCCTGACCTGCAGCGTTTGGACAGCTCAGCCATTGGGACAGACAGGCCGTCCGTCCGTCCGACCAGCGGGAAGATCTTTTTCTCCCGCATCTCAGCCCCACTGGGGTGTGATGTACAGGGAGATCACAGCAGCGCACCAGGGAGAAACAGAGCCCTTGATTCCACTTACAAGCTGATGAATTATTGATATGGAGCAGGGATGGGAGGGTCTATGACGCGAACGGCTAATCCGCCTAAGCCTGCCTGTCAGCAGTATGGCTCTTGAGAGAATGAGAACCATTAGCAGACAGCTAATTATCGCCCCCCCACTAGGGGCTACTGCAGAGGGGATAAATGCAGGGACAGTTACAGAGCTGTTCTAGAGCAGCCCCAGCTGTGGATGCTCCTACTCTGGCATCCTGGTCCAGTTCTGCAAGATGAACTTTCTAACCCTTGGCCTGTGGGGTCGGACTGGCAGTCCTGCCCCTCCCAGCAAGGTCTCTCGACCAAGCTAATCCCTAGAAAAACACACCCAGGGATAAATCAGGGATAAGGGATCTTTTGGAAAAGGCTTTATTTTCCGAAAGATCCCCGTCTAGACTGGCGCTTTTTGCCGGCAAAGCCCCGAGCCGGAAAAAAGCGGCAGCCATGTTCATGCAAATGAAGCGGGGAAGATTTAAATCCCCGCTTCATTTGCAATTGCGCTGTGTCTAATCTGCATCCCTTTTCCGCAAAAGGGGTGCAGTCTAGACACAGCCGTGGACTTTGGAGGGAGTGTCAAAGCAATCGGAGGGCTGTGATAGCAGCAGCCGGGCTCCCGAGGGAACTCAAAGACCCACCTCCCCTTTCTATTCTCTTGCCGCAGGGTTAGAGCACATGGAGTATTTGCTGCCTGGCCTAGCCGCGCAACCAGGCTTCCAAAGGAGGCCGGGTGACTTCCCCACCTGGAGCGCGGGATGGGCTGGCAGCAGATCAGAGAGAAGGGCCCATGTGGGGCTGCTGGCATTAGCCCTCCCCCTGGGGAGAGGCAGGGCAGCTTCAGAGCCAGCGGGGAGGGCACTGTATCGCACAGGAAGCCAAGCCTGCACCCATCCACCTCAGGGGCAGAAATTTCCCCAGCTTCATGGAAAGCAGGAGCAGGCCCCAGGCCGTCAGAAAGCAGCTCAGGGAAGGGGGATGAGCGTGGAGCCTAGGGAGGATAAGCAATTAAGAGAGGTGGGGCCCCTGCCAGGGGGTGCTCTCCCACCCCTTTCGGTGTCCAAGCTACACCTGCTGTGCCCTTCGCTCTGTGGCGCAAACCCCCGTGACTCCAGCTGCCATGTCCCCTGCCATGTGGCGAGGTCCCCACTGGCTGCTCCATGCAGAGCACCACGCGACACAGCAGGACTCTGCCTTCAGCCTCTTCTCGTGGGAAGGTGGTACTGCAGTCCCCCCAGGCCCTCTGCCCTGCCACGGGGCCACAGCCCTCCTTCTCCAAGGCCTGTCTGCAGAGGAGCAGACAAATATGGCCAACTGTGCTACATAAGAACGTAGGAACAGCCAGACTGGGTCAGGCCAAAGGTCCATCCAGCCCAGCGTCCTGTGTTCTGACAGTGGCCAATGCCCCAGAGGGAAGGAACAGAACAGGGAATCATCAAGGGATCCCTCCCCTGTCACTGATTCTGACACACAGACACTAGGGACGCCATTCCTACCCATCCTGGCTAACAGCCTTTGATGGACCGAACCTCCAGGAGTTTATTTATGGCTTTTGAATGGGGTACTTCTGTCCCCAAGAATCCAGGCAGGTCTCCACACAATGAGCAGAAATTACACCCTGCGGCAACAGCCTAGAACAGGAGGTAAATGGGCTCTCTCCCAAAAGGGATGGCAGGCGGGAACTGAGTCTTTGAGAGGCAACTGGGGAGGCAGCATCCTCCCCCCCCCAATGCTCCAAAGAGCAGGTAGGATAACGTTGGGGGGCTACAGCAAGGTATGCAGCGCCCCTCCCCCTCAACACAGGTGCACAGAGATTGCGGGGATGAAAATGGAGGGAATTCTGCAGGTTGGGCTCTGCAGTGGCCACACCTCTCCTGTAAAAGCCATTAGAAGGGGATGCCCTTGGAGACCTGCTGAGTTCCTATTGCAAGTTTGGGCGCCCCCAAGTACCAGCCTCTGAAGACTGTTACCTTTTACTTCCCAGATGACAGGAGGCGAGATGGACTCAGCACCTTGGACCTGGGTGTATCAAGCAGACTGGCCACCTGGCAAAGATGCAATGAAAAGCTTGGATCAGATGAGATTACAAAGCACTTTGCAAAGCAATACAATACAATTAACACCTTCCACAATTCAAGGTGTGAGCCACTGATGCCCTGAAAAGCCCAAGATCCTGCTACTGGAGAAGTCAGCCGGCTGCCCTACATCTCACTGCACGGCCAATGTCGTGGGTTTTCAGCCACATGAACAAAAACAACAGCAAGATGTAGTCCCAACCTTCAGGAGTGGGACGGTTCAGAAACCAGTGGCCTCCCCTCCCACCAATTCCCCAGGTGGAAGCAGAAGGTTAGGGTATAACATGCAAGTAGCCTTTCAGAAACATCCCAAAACCAATGCTCTGACCTCTCCTTGTCATTAAAGAGCCCATGTAACTTTTCACAAGTCAAGGCATTTTAATCTTGACCTATTCCAACACAGATAATTACATTCTCTCTTCTGACATCTCCCTTGCTCGGTCAGCTACTAAGATAGTCCTCTTCACTTCCTGTCCTTACCCGGGCAGGGTGTTGCTGCGTGCTGTTAAACAACGGTCACACTCCACTCCAGAAGGGGCTGTATTTGAGCAGGAGGCAAGTGTGCCTCAGATACCGCATGTGTAGTGTGTTGGGGGTTGCGGGGAGTGCTACAGAAATGGATGCCATTCCTTCTCATGTTTTTATACGTGGCATGTTTTCATGCCATTCCTTTTTCTCTCACGTTTTGTTCCAGCTTTGGCTAGTGCCGCAACCTCCTCTAGTGCCTCCCCCTTGGGGGCTTTCCAGGGCACATTACAAATATTAACCACCCCAGTGGGGCACTTCATCCACAGGGTTCCTCCCATTGGCTAAGCCAGAAACAGAACCCAGGAGTCCAGGAATCCCGTCTCCGGTCCTGCTGTAGCCCCAGACCCCACCCCCTTCCCAAGGCAGCATCCCTGGAATCCAAGCCCTGAAAAGACCAGGCCAAGCTGGGTCTGGACAGGCATCTATGCACCCAGCCGGGGATGGTGCTGCACCCTCAGCCACATGCCAGCCTGGGCCTCGTGCTGTCCTG